ATTCTTCTTGGCTGTAAAAAATATTAAATTGCTCTTGAAATATTAAACATAATTTACAATATATTCTACTTAATAATGTAATTTATCGTATATATTAATATGTAGTTTTTGATGGCCAGTAGCCATTAAATATAAGTTAAAAATAAAATAAATAATTTTGAAAATGGAACCTCGAACAGAGCGATGATATAGTTTTAGTTTCTTTCTGTAAAAATATACACTTATATATTTCTGCTTAGTAGTGTATTTTAGTGTAAATATTTAAGAGCTGTTTACGATCGTAAATAGCCATTAAATATATCTTAAAAATGAAATGCATCATTTTGAAAATCGAACATTGAACATAGAGAGGCGATATAGGTTTGTTTTTTTTTATAAATATACATACCTTCCATACATTCTACGTGTTACCAATAAGAACATTAAGTGTGCAAAATTATTTATTAATTGCTCACCCTCCGATCGATCCCTCGTCCAATTCAATCAAACGGGGATCGAAATTACCTGAGCCGGGGTTCGAACCCCTAGCGGTGCCCTCAGACTAAAGTCGTAGCCATCAGGCAGGAGTTGGCCTTCAGCCATAAGTCCTTCCGCGGTTTTGGAGTGCCATCTGCACTCATCCTCAATCGTCCGGTGAAGCTGTAAATACCAGCTGCGACCAACAGCATTAGAGAGGTCGGATGAAAAATCGCTCATTATTCAATTTTTATCATAAATGCAACATGTAATATTCCTAAACCAAACATGAGTAACCCGAATTACACTACAGTGTTACACTAACGATGTATCAACGTATAAAATGAGCTATTAGATATTAAATTTCACTAATTAGACATATTTGCTACCAATATATAATCCAAGAGGGATTTACGTTATACGGAGATCAAATAACAACTATTGGATTGTAAACTCTTGTTGATATTAATCTATTTATGAATAGTTCAGGTGAGTTTACTGAAGCAGTAACTCTACGTATTAAACTTCTATTAGATCTCGTATTGCCTTTAGGTTTAACGCTATTATATCGTTAGTATTAGTTTGTCGGCATCTTGTATATCTATACAAGTGATTCGAACCGGTTTTGGTGATGTAGAAATGCTTGAAGACTTATGTTCTTGACTTTATAAAGATAGAAATTTTAATTATATAAATAAACACTTTACACACTTCAATTGGAGTAGTGTAATAGTAGTAAAGTAGTAGAGTTAAATTAAAATAACATTTGTATTTCTGTCTATAATTCTGACTCTCCAGTGAAGTAAACATCAAGAGATTGCTTCTAGCGATGTGGCCGCCTTTTTGTAATTATGTATTCTTTTATATTTTATTATTGTTTATGTTTTTCTTTACCGTATAATTTATATAAATAAAGTATAGTCTGTCTATCTACATCTAACAAATATATAACATGAGGTTTTTTTATTAATGGACTGTTGACCCTATTGCTCGCAATGTGAATTAAAAATAATACACATATATAAACATTTACATATCTATACATCTAAATAAAATTGGAGTGTCTGTCTGTAATATTTAAATAACTATTTTTTACTACGTGTATATAAATATAAATACGGTACATACAAAAAAAGTATATTTTTTACAATTTTTGTCTGTCTGTCTATCTGTCTTTTTGTTCCGACTAATCTCTGAAATGGCTGGACCGATTTTGATGGGACTTTTATTGGCAGGTAGATGTAATAAGGAGATGTAACTTAGGCTACTTTTATTTTAGAAAAATAAAGTTAAATTCCACGCGGACGAAGTCGCGGGAACAGCTAGTTATGCATAAAAATACAGGTAATAATACTAGTAGCTGTTTATGATTTGAATAGACAATTTAAGGTTAAATCTGACTGTCAGTGTACTGAGTTGAGTTGGAAGGGACATCAAAAGGTTAACTTTGATGTTTGCCGACTGTTTATCAAAATTCCGACCTTTTGTTTCATGTGCAGATAAATTGAAATTGATAAAGGTGAGTGAAGGCGTATTTTTTTTATCCCTCCCAGATTCATACGGGTGAAATGAGTGTACGTATTTCTAATTTATTTGAAAATTATATCCAACATGGATAATAAATTAGTATTTTAAAAAGAGAGGGAGTGAGGGGATTTTGATTCATAGGAACTAGGGGTATCACTGCTAGTAATGTGTCATGTCACCTTCGTTACCTCCATCTGTTGGTCGCGGGTTCTATTCCTCCGACTGTACAAATATTTTTATTAATGAGTATGATTATTTATCAATACTAACAATCAGTCTATGTATAATATGCATATATTTATAAAAAAAAACTGTGTATTTATATCAATTTTCTAGCACTCATAACGTAAACTTTCCTACTCAAGCTTTACTTTATTTGGAACTAGATGACCCCTGTGTGAAATGTTCTATGTAGTTTCTAATATTTTATTAAAAAAAAAATCTTCACTCATAACGTAAACTGTTCTTTATTTGGGACTAGATGACCGCTGTGTGAAATGTTCTATGTAGTTTCTAATATTTTATTAAAAAAAAAATCTTCCACTCATAACGTAAACTTTTCTTTATTTGGAACTAGATGACCGCTGTGTGAATATTCTATGTAGATCCTAATATTATTATTAAAAAAAAAACCCTGAGATGAATTTTCGAAACTAGTTAAGAATTATTTTTCAGTTTGTCCAATATAAAGAAATTTCTTTGTATAATATTGGTATTGATCACAACAAAGTGCACCTTCCACAAACCAAATGACAGATGAGATTGCGATAGGCCACGACTGCTTGCTGAGAAAAATCGGAAAAACAATAGATGCGTATCTGAAACACGTTACAGCAACCTTTGTTTTAAAGCCACAAGGTCCTAAGGGAATAAATAAATAAACCAAAACACTACAATCGTGTATATAAGGTTTATTGGTCAGTTTCAAAATACAGGTACAAAAAATGTTATAAAGTAAAATACATATGGACTTTCTACAAAACGAAACGTTAGCGAGTTTCAATTTTGTTACAGCGCCATCTATCGGCGCTGCATACAAACAATACTATTTTATGGATTATAATCTACTTTAACACTTTGTTTACGTAAAACGTTTGTTAATATCATCTTTATATATATATAAATACAAACAGACTTCGCTTGCATAGAGTAAACAAAGTATATGTATATGAAGGAATTATTTCACTAAAACAACCTTCAAAACTCAAACACACAATTTTTATTCTCAACAAACTTTTTATTCCACTAATTTTAACAACTCTCTAATACTACTGAATACAGACCACAGACTCATTACATTTTTAGATTGTAATATATTTGTTTTTTTTTTTTTAATCAACTTCAACATTCTCCGCCGCCAAGGATATGCCCATATCCTTGTACGTATCATTCTCAGTTGAAATCAGGAAGTCTACAAAGTTTAGACACCGAACGCTGCATAACACCTGTGGCTGTACGAACATCGTAAACTCTAGTTAGGCCATCGGAACTCGGATACTTCTTTTGTATTCGACCAAGGCGCCAACTGGATGGAGACGCTCTTGAGTCTTTTATTAAGACCATATCTCCAATCTCGAAATCTTTTTGAACTCTCATCCATTTCGGACGTTGCTGTAATCGAGACAAATATTCAGTTTGCCATCTTGACCAAAAATCACGTACCATTTTCTGCGTCAATTGCCATCTCGTTAAATTGGATACATTTACCTTTTCATAGTTTCTGTCTGGTAAAGTTATAGTAGGCTCTCCAACAAGGAAATGTCCGGGTGTCAGATACTCGTAATCATCATTAAGTGCTGTTAGTGGACGCGAATTAAGACAAGCCTCTACTTGAGTCAAGACTGTGTATAACTCCTCAAAAGTAAGAGTAGTATCTCCTAGTATACGCTTAAGGTGATACTTCACAGATTTCACCCCGGCTTCCCATAAGCCTCCAAAGTTAGGAGCGCCAGGTGGTATATATTTCCAAACAGTGCCTCTATCATCCAACAAAATTCTCAATTCTTCAGGAAGTTCGTTTCTACCCTGTTTCCACATCTCAAATAGGGTTTTCTCTGCTGATATAAATGTAGTTCCGTGATCACTCCACAGCTCATAACATCGACCTCTTCGTGCAACGAATCTTTTAAATGACGAAATAAATGCTTCTGTTGTCATGTCACTGACTAACTCAAGGTGTATGGCTTTTGTTGCCATGCAAATAAATAGGCATATATATGATTTATAAGCTTTAGCTCCTCGTCCTTTGCTCATTCGACATAGTATAGGACCAGCATAATCGACTCCACTTATTGAAAATGGGCGAGATGGATTCACTCTAACGTCAGGTAAGTTTCCCATTAATTGATTACTAGTAGTAGCATTATATATAGCACATTTTTTACACTGTCTATAAAATCTCTTTATTCTTTGACCGCCATTTATAATCCAATAATTATTTTGCAGGTATGAAGTCATTAATCGAGGACCTCCATGCAGCGTCTCTTTGTGTGCATCATCCAACAGAAGTGGTATAAGTGGATTATCTCTGGTAAGTATGACAGGATGTTTTCTTTCATATTTCAGCTCTGCATGCTTTAAACGGCCACCAACTCTCAGAACATCATTCTCATCAAGGTAAGGACATAATGGTAATAATCGACTACATCTTTTAATAATTTTCTTCTTTTTCAGGGTTTCTATTTCATCTGTAAAGTCTATTTGCTGAGCAATTTTAACACAAACGGTAAGTGCCTTATCTCTTTCTTCACAATCTATGCTTTTATGTTTAATATTTTCTCTTTTTACATTTTTCATCCATCTTCTACAAAAGGCAACAACGTTCAATAGTTTCTTCAGTGACGAAAATCTATTCAATAAGGTAAGTTTAAATTCATCATCTTTAGTTTTTATAATTGTCGTATTACATTTAATCTGAACTCTTTTTTCCAACTCTGTTTCAGGAATTATATCTTTTGGTAACATAAAATTAGACATTTGCAGAAATTCTGGACCTTGCCACCATAAATGACTCTCTTTTAGTACACTGGGTAATAATCCTCGTGATGCTGGATCAGCGGGGTTCTCTTTGTATTAATGTACAACCACTGAATATTCAAATTGTTTCTAATTTCTATAACTCTATTTTTAACAAATGGTGTCCATTTATTTGGGTCGCCTTTTATCCAGGCCAATGTTACTTTGGAGTCAGACCAAGCAAATGTTTTACTGGTATCAATGGAAAGTATTCTCATAACATGTTTAAGTAATTTACTTAACAATGCTGCTGCACATAGTTCCAAGCGCGGTAAAGATATTTGTTTTACAGGCGCAACTTTAGTTCTTGCCATAATCAACGTTGTTTGGCAGGGATTTTTATTATTACTCAATACTCTAGTATAAACTACGGCTGCATATGCTGATTGCGAGGCGTCTGCAAATCCATGTAACTCCACTTCCACATCAATAGTACTTCCATTCCATCTAGGAATCTTGATTTCGGACAGTACAGGTAAATCATTTTTATATTTATTCCATTCTTCTTTCAGATCATTCGACAGTTCTTCATCCCAATCTACTTGATTTAGCCAGAGCTTTTGCATAAATATCTTTGCTTTAATTATGGCAGGTGATAACCAACCCATAGGATCGAATAAAGAAGCTATCTGGCGCAATATATTTCTCTTAGTAAGTAAATTAGTATTTTCGCTTTTCATATAAGTAGGTGCTATTTTTAAACTGTCCTCATTTGTCTCCCACATAATACCCAAAGTCTTCACAGTCTCTTTATGAATTATATCTAATACAATACTATTCACTCTTTTCTCAGGATCTATTGAATTCATAAATTCTTGACTATTTGAAGATATTTTTTGTAATTCAAATTTTCCTTTCAATAACATTTCTGCTAACTCTTTTTGTGCATTTATCGCATCGCTCACATTATCAAAACCAGTTAATACATCGTCCATATAAAAGTCTGAATTCACAATTTTCGAGGCAACAGGATACTGTGTATTTTCATCTTTAGCAAGCTGTCTCATGGTTTTTATTGCAAGGTAAGGTGCTGAAGCCATGCCAAAGGTAACTGTCAGTAATTTATAGGTTTGTATTTCATTATTTTGATTAAATCTATATAATATTCTCTGATATTTTGTGTCTCTCTCTTGTATTTTTATCTGGCGATACATTTTAATAATATCTGCCACAAAAACTATTTTATGTGTTCTCCATCTTAGGATAATATCTCTTAACTCTTCTTGTAAATTAGGTCCAATCAAAAGCCCATCGTTAAGTGATACTCCGTTTGTACCTCGACACGAAGCATCGAATACGACACGTACTTTCGATGTTGTTTTATCATCTCTGAAAACTGCGTGATGCGGTAAGTAGACTGTATCTTTCTCTCTCTCATCTTTTACTAATTCCATATGGTTTAATGTTATATACTCTTTTAACACATTATCATACTCTCGTTTTAAGTTTTCATTTCCAGCCAATCTTCTCTCTAAACCTCTTAATCTTCTCATTGCTATTTCTCTAGAATTTTCAGGTAAGATTGGATTGTCTCTCACAAATGGTAAGCTGACTACATATCGTCCTTGTTCATCTCTCATGACTGTTTTCTCATATATTTCTTCTGCTCTAGCTTCTTGGGAGGTAAGTGTATTTTTATTCTCAGACTCTAGTGACTCACATTCCCAAAATCTCTGTAGCATATTATCTAACGTTACACTCAAATGCATACTAATAATTTGGCCCTTATTTGGTAATCTCTCAACAGCTTCGCCGCCAGATATTATCCACCCTAAGTAAGTTTGTTGGGCGATTGGTTCTCCTTGCTTTCTCTTTAAAACTCCACTCATCAAAATATCTGTGTAGACATGAACACCCAATAAAAGGTCTACATTTCCAGGTGTATGGTAAGTTGGATCTGCTAACTCGATGCCACTGAAATGTGTCCAATGCTCATAATTTATTCTTGTAGCGGGCATGATATCTGTAACATGCTTAATTACATAAGCAGTACACTTTAATTTATAATTTTTATTCATTCTAGAGGACAACTCAATCTCCGCCGCGTGCTTGAACGGGGTAGACATCTGTCCAACTGCTGATACCTGACCTTCTACATCTTTACATTTCAATTGTAATCTCTTTACAACTGCTTCACTTATAAATGATTCTTCTGAGCAAGGGTCTATAAAAGCTCGTACAATCTGTGGCCCTCTGCTCGTTTCTAAATTCACCAAAGCAGTAGCAAGTAATGACACACGGCCTCGTATTGACACATGTGAAAGAATATTGTGTTGACTCATTGTTTGATTATCTGGTGTTCTAATCTCTTCAGTCTCATTATTAATAGTCTCTAAATTTGGTTTAGTTATATGTATCAACGTGTGGTGCTTTCTATTACAGATATCGCATCTCATTCTATATCTACAAAATTTAACACTATGACCAGGACGCAAACAATTAAAGCATAATCTCTCCTTTTTAATGTACTCTGTTCTCATAACTGGATCTAGCTTAATAAACTCTTTGCATGAAAATATGTCGTGATTCTCTTTACACTTTCCACATTCTGTATTTCTACTTCTATACTCTGTATTTCTTTTTACAGCATTACTAGTTATTGTAGCAAACGATTTTGGTTTAATTTGAGTTCTCTCTTTCATATAAGATGTTTGAATCATTTCTGTTACTCTAAATCTTCCTTCTAAATATTTCTTAAATTTTTCTAACGTAGGTAATTCTTCAACAGGTATTGTTTGCAATTCTTCTTCCCATGTTTTTTGAGACTCCGAGTCTAATTTATTACTAATTATATGTATTATTAATGGATCCCAATTCTCAATATTAATGTTGTTATTCTTTAAATTATTTAAACATTCATTTGTTGTATCTAATAAATCTTTCATGTTCTTTGATGAAGCTGTAAATATTCGTCTCTGTCCCAAAAGTCTAGTCAAAATTGAATTTACTATTATTCTTTTATTATTATATCTATTAGATAATGTACTCCAGGCGATGTCATAATTATTTTCGGTAATTTGTGTGTTTCAAAAGTTGTTCAGCTTCGCCAGTTAAACTGGACTTCAGGTAATGCATCTTTTGTATTTTACTCAAATTTTTATTGTTATGAATTAATGATGTGTACAAATCTTTGAATGTTATCCACTCGCTATAATTGCCTTGGTATAGGGGTATATTTATTTTGGGTAATTTTACGTCTTGATTTACATATTTTGTACATGGCTCCTGACTATATTTGATGACTCAAAACTTTCTAACATCTCTGTGATATCTTATTTTATAATTTTGTAATGACATATTGTAAATTAAATAATGTAAATTTAATATTGTAATGGGTGAAAACTGTGATCGGTACAGCCTATGCTGTAAATAATATAATTGACGTAGTGGAGTAACCTGAAACAGTCATGCTCGCTATAAAGTTCAAACTTGTGGCGGCGTGTTGGGCCGGGTCGATGTGCTCCCTCAAATATGGTTGAGTACAATGATGGCTGGCTCATACGTCATACTCGTGAACGGGTGCTGCTTGTGGGGACTGGTCTGTTCAGGTTGTGAACACTGATTAAATTTTTTGTTCTTTGCGATAGCATATGCTGGTGGTCACTCTATTCTCCCAAATTTGAATTTTAATAACTGTATTTATCATAAACATGTTCCACTATTATTTGAAAAAAATTACGAGCTGAGTTTCTTGTCAGTTCTTCTCATCTCGATATCATTCCGAACTGACGGTAGATTTGACATATCATAAGAGTCTGTAATAGACCTACATGAATAAAGATATTTTGAATTTTGAATTTGAATTTTGAATCTGCTTTGCAAAACAAATACTCTTCTTCGCATTTCGAAAATAAATCCTTTTCAAAATATTCATGCTTCTTTCTTTGTTCTAATGTAGATGTCTTTACTATATTTCTATGTGTCTCATCAAAGATATCCCAATGTTTCTCTAAACTTTCTAATCTCACTTTCAAGTAACTTTTATTTAATTTTGGCTTCGGTGTTTTCTTAAAATTAGATATAGTTTTTTGTAAGATAGAATAATTATTTTCTTGAAGCACTAATAAATTTTCCATTTTTCTAAATATTTTTTATGCACTGAATAAATAGAAATAGAAATAGAAATAGAAATAGAAATAATCTTTATTCAAATAAACTCATTACAAGCACTTTTGAATAGTCATATTTTGATTCTACCACTCATTCGGAATGCAGATTCATCACAAGAAGAATGAGCAAGAAACTTGTGTGTTGCTCTTTTTGATAGATGTTTTTTTTTATATAAATAATTACAGTGTAACAAGTAAGAGGCATGCGACAATCAACATAGAAATCGCTACGCACTCATTATTAGTGTAATCAGATAATATTGTCAGTGCTATGTATTTAAAATTTTTCTACAAAAACATTATTATCGTTAACGAATTCTTCAATTTTATAGTAAGCTTTTTTGCAAAGGAAGTGTTTTATTCGACATTTAAATCTTTTTTCTGGCAGATTTATAACAGACTCTGGTATTTTATTGTAAAACCTTACGCAATTGCCATAAAACGAATTACTAACTTTAGCCAAACGACATTTAGGTAAAATCAGTTTGTTATTGTTACGTAAGCTTTTATTAGTGCAATCACTAACTCTTTTGAAACTGTCTATATTCTTCCTGGCATACATGATGTTTTCATAAATATATTGAGAAGCAACGGTGAGGATATTTGATTCCTTAAAGCACTCTCGCAAAGACTCCCTGGAACCCATGCTATAAATGGAGCGAATGGCCCTCTTTTGTAAAATAAATATTGTATTTATATCAGCTGCTTTGCCCCATAACAAAATACCATACGACATAATGCTATGGAAATAGCTAAAGTACACAAGTTTAGCCGTTGCCACGTCTGTTAATTGTCTAATTCTTCTTACCGCATAAGCGGCAGAACTAAGTCGACTCGCTAATTTAGTAATATGGGCACCCCATTGCAACTTGGAATCTAATGTGATACCTAGAAATACAGTATCATCCACAAAATTAATAGGTTTATTGTCCAACATGATTTTTGAATCTACCGGCCTTACATTGGGGAGAGTAAATTTGATACATTTAGTTTTATTTGCATTTAGTAACATATTATTAGCCGTAAACCATTTTAAAACATAAGAAAGAGCACCGTTTACTTCGTCCAAATCATCAATATGTCGATTGACTTTGAATACTAATGAAGTATCATCAGCAAACAGAACTATGTCAGCTATCTTTTCTACCATATAAGGAAGATCATTTATGTAAACTAAAAATAAGAAAGGACCTAAAATAGAGCCCTGAGGAACACCCATTTTAATACTAGTTCCTTCAGACTTTACACCATTTATTTCGACAACTTGCATTCTATTATTTAGATAGGATTTCATCATGCTTTGTGCTTCATATCTAATACCGTAATGTTCAAGTTTGAGCAAAAGTGTTTCATGTTCAACGCAATCAAATGCTTTTGAAAGATCGCAAAATACACCGACTGCATCCTGAGACCTCTCCCAAGAATCAAATATATATTTAATGAGAGCTACACCGGCATCAGTAGTTGATTTACCGGCCGTGAAACCAAATTGTCGACTGTGAAGCAGTTTATTTACTTTAAAGTGTTGTAGCATTTGATTGAGCATAATTTTTTCAAACACTTTACTCAATACTGGTAAGATAGATATAGGCCTATAATTACCTACCACAGTTTTTTCTCCTGACTTAAAGTTAAATGTTTTTAAAACAAAAAAAAAATGTTTCGATATTATAAGTCAATAATCACTATTTCAAATAAAATATTGTGTAATAGTTACTTTATGAACTGAGTCCAACGGAACGTCTGTACCGGTATTGTCTATGATCTATTTTCGCGCTCACTTAATTACACTGTGCTCAATGTATTTATTAAATGTTCAATTATTTAATAATATCACTCAAAATACAAGTTCTTTTTTTATTTTAAACTTATCCGGATCGTAAGGACCACTTAATATGAAGGAATTATTTCACTAAAACAACCTTCAAAACTCAAACACACAATTTTTATTCCACTAATTTTAACAACTCTCTAATACTACTGAATACAGACCACAGACTCATTACATTTTTAGATTGTAATATATTTGTTTTTTGTTTTTTTTAATCAACTTCAACAATAGCAAATAGTCTATGCCCATACAGTCATTGTCTTTGGCATCTTTTCTGTTTCAATTCAAGTTGACTATTGTCACAAATTTTACGTAAAAGATATTTTTTTTTTACGTAACTAGAATGTCAGGCGGGCATCAAAATAAGGCAGCAAGTACTGACAGGAGTGCTCCAGGGATCTGTTTTGGGGCCAGTATTGTATACTATCTACACATCAGAGCTACCACAATCGGAAGGTCTAACCATAGCTAAATATTCTGACGACATTGCAGTTCTAGATTGCAATACGTTTTTTTTTTTTTATTAACGTGTGGAAAAATCTTCAAAAGACCGTCACCCCGCCGGAGGGATGGCGAGGTGGTGTGTGGGACTTGTACCCACTAAAAAACCACACGGTGTACCTACGAGCGCCTATGCCGGAGCCAGGGGATTCGCAAGTGCATTCTACCCCAGCTCCGACGGCGACGGCTCGCCCTGTAGATGTTGTAGGGCAGGCCCCATGTCGTTTTGTGGTTAGGGCGACCTATTTCGCCCTACTCCATTGTAATAGAGGGGGCGGAGTTGGATCTCTGGCTCTTCTGCGGCGGAGGGAAGTGGGACGAGCTGACTCCCGCTCCCTTTCTGCCGCCTCCTTCCGCGAGATAACTTCCTCGCAGAAGGAGCTCACCGCCAGCCACGATCTCTCGCTACTGACCATCCTCCGCATGGATCGTCCCCCACTATTCGTGTGAGGACACGGCGCTCACTCTCGAACGCTGGAAATTCGTCCAGCCTGTGTTGCGCCGTGTCCTCAACAACTCCGCACTCGTGGCAGCCGGTCGTCGGCTCCTTCCTCGCCACAACACAGCAGCCGAAGATAAAACTGTGTCAGATTGCTGTGTCCCAACCAAACCTCACGAGCTTTACAAATACAAGACCCTGTGGCTAAAAAAAAAAAAAATGGAAGATGGCCAGCGTATCCAAGTAGCTTCAAATGACATTCAGTTTGCGACCAGTAAACTACCCCCAACAGTAACCCTGGATAGCAAAACTCTCCCTTAAAGTGTTATCAGTTGGTTCGACCGCCGCCAGAGCACATTCAGACAAAAATAGCAAGGGGCCATATTGGTTGCTAGGGCTTGTTGAACTTCTCCTAAACAATTTGAAATGGATTTTGATAAAATCCAAAATAATATGTTGTAACCTCGTAAATGCGGCATGGATTGCCTCGTGAATTAAAACACAGCAGCCGAAGATAAAACATTGCTGCTTCAAATACAAGACACGGCTAGGAAACCATCCCAATGTGGCTGTGCAAAATCCCAGCACATTGTGACAAAAGCAGTCCTCTAAGAAAGGATTTTGATAAAATCCACCCCTAAAGGGTAAATTAACGCGAAGCCGCGGGTAAAAGCTAGTTTTTTTTCAAAAAGTCTAGCAAGAACTTTAATTCGTCGTCACAGAACGACTTTTTAAATTAATTTTCATAGGGACCCCCGTATCCTAATGTGTCCAGGGCCTCTAATAGGTGAAAGTCGGTTGTAGATCACGACACAAATGTAACTCACGGTCAGTTCTCGGATGCGATTCCAGGCCAAGTTCAGCTTCTTCAGATTGAGCAGCACGAACCTCCAGTCGCTGAATATGATCGAGATGGCGTTCCTGCTCAGATCCAGTTCCTTCAACTGCAGCAGCGAACTGAACGGCGACTGCTGCTCGAACTCCTCGTAGGTGGAGACGTTGTGGCCGGGTTCCAGCCCCGGGGGTCGCATGGTGAGCGAGTTGTTGGCGAGGTGCACGACCTCCAGGGCGACCGCGTCTATGAACGCGTCGGGGGCTATCTGTGTCAGTCTGTTGCTCGTCATTCTGATTGATTTCAGTCGCGTCAGTCCCGAGAACAGTTGTCTGAAATCATTATTTATTTTATAATTTATTATTTTATATACATACTAGTTCTTGAGGTATATATAATATAGACCTTATTAACTAGTATTATAAATGCGTCTGTCTGTTTCGCTTTCAGGCCAAACCTACTGAACCGATTTCAATAAAATTTAGAGCACAGATAGTCTAAACCCTAAGAAAGGACATAGACTACTTTATAAAGCGAAATAAGGGCTGTAACGGGTAGAAAGGGGAGATGAAGGGCTGAATGGGAGAATCGTCATTTTGAATTAGGTTATTAAGTTGGTTGAAGTAAAATAAATTGATTGATTCATTCGTAATTTAAGAGCCACGCTCACGTCGGTGGAACTTTTGTCGATCTTGTATCGTGCCCTTTATATGGTGATACGTAAATATATAAAAAGAGAGAATGGCACTGGATTTCCTAAATAACACGAAAAATTGTCAGTTGTTATTGTTTTAATGTAATTTTTTTTTTGTAATTATTAATATTTCATATTTTGTACATTTTTCCTAAGCGAGCATATTGAGAAGCTGTAAGGCTCGCTTAGTTGATGTCAATAAATAAATATATAAATAATATGTATGTATTAACGAAAAATATATCTATGTATATGTATCAGTTGTCTAGTACCCATAACACAAGCTTTAGCTAGCTTAACTTGGGTCTAGATGGCGCTGTGTGAATGGTCCAGAATTATCACAGTTATATGTTAATTTGTTGATATGGTTGCTACTCACCCCGGGAGAACTTCAATGAGATTCTTATCCAAACTCAACTCTTTCAACTGCTTCAGAGGCCAGAACACGTCGGACCTCAGTGACTTGATCTTATTATCATTCAGCAGCAGGGACTCCAGTTTGGATTGGTCCCTGAACAGTCCGGCGGGCAGGTCGCTGATGCTGTTCCCGCCGAGTTGGAGGCTCGTGATGGAGGAGGAGTTGTGGAAGGTGTCGGGGGACAGCTGGTAGATCCTGCACTTGGTGAGGCGGACGCTCACCAGCGCCGGAAGGTTGGCGAGTGCTCGGGGACTGAGCTTGAGGTCGGCGCGGTTGTCGAATAATATCAGCTGCAAGTAGATGAAGGAGTCAATTCAAATTCAAATTCAAAAATCACTTATTCATGTAGGACATTGTAGCCGCTTATGAACGACAATATTTTTGTATTATATTTTTTTTCATATCATTATTATTCATATTGAAATAACCTTTTTTTACTACATGCATATGAATGTAAATACGGTAAATACACCAAAATAACATTTTTACGATTTTTGTCTGTCTGTTCCGGCTAATCTCTGAAATGGCTGGACCGATTTTGACGGGACTTTTATTGGCAGGTAGCTAATGTAACAAAGAGTTAAGCTACTTTTATTTTAGAAAAATAAAGTTAAAATCGACGCGGACGAAGTCACGAGTACAGCTAGTATATACCTAACTATAACAACTTGAGTGCTAGTGGTGTATTACAGTGAGAGTGATGAGAGTGATACCTTCTCCAGCGACTGGAGTCCAGTGAAGGCGTCAGGCGCTATCTCCTGCAGGGGGTTGGCGAAGAACGTGAGCTGCTTCAGTCTGGGCGTGTGCATGAAGCCGCCGGTGGGCAGCGCTCGCAGGCGGTGCGACTCAAGTCCAGACGTTCCAGTGACTCCAAACCTGACAAATATACATACATACACACACTTTATTATATAAACTTAACAAGTATTTCAAGGAATATTTATGTATCTACTAGTGAGCGCCCCGGCTCCGCACAGGTACAATGCTATGTATGCTATACGTACAATATATTCGTCATTTTTGAAGCCAGAAGCTTGAAACCTAATTTTGAGGCTGTCGAAGTATAAATGAATATGACATTCAAAGTTTGTAAAATATTACCCTTAAGTGGATAAAATAAAATAGGGGATGAAAGATTTTTGGTAAATTCGTCATTTTTGAAGCCAGATATATGAAACTTTTGGGTTAGTTTATAAAATACCCCACTAATATTATAAATGTGAAAGTAACTTTATCTGTCTGTTTGTCAGTCTCACTTACACGCGGAAACTACTGAACCGATTTAAATAAAATTTGGAACATACAATCTAGACCCTGAGAATGGATATAGGGTACTTTTTAATGTGGAAACAAATCTGAAACTGATTTTTAGGCAGTTGATTAAGAGAAAAGAAAATTGATAAAGAGAAAAATGAGTTGTAAGGAATTTAAAAGAGAGTTAAATGTTTATATGGAAATGTTGCCATTTAGAAAAGCTAGAAGCTTAATTTTTAGCCTATTTATTAAATATGATATATATTTAATAAGAACAAGTTATAAGGGGTCGACAGAGTTATGTATGGAAGTGTCGTCATTTTTGAAGATGAAACGATGAACTTTTATATTTGGCTATTATTGGGCTAGGTCATTAAATACTTTGTTCATTATTTGGTGAAGGTGATTATTATAAATATATAACTGTACGTATTTAGTTTACACAATACAGACAAACATTAAAACCTTTCTCCACATTCCCCACGTGATGGTATAAATCAAACAAACGACTACTGTGATTAACCGGAAGTTGTTATCAAGTATATAAGTATCATAGTAACATACAAACATACACACTGACTCACAACCCGCAGCTCGCAGTCACCAACACAAACATAGTCCATGTGACACACACGCTCATATCAAAACAAACATTATATATATATGTATATATATATATATGTATATATAAATATCCCCTTGGGCACTTTGTGGCTCAGACGTGCCGTATAGGTAGTTTTTTGTTGATCCGGAGGCCTTTTGTTGATCTAATGCCAGCTGACCATATATAAATGTTGATCCGTTTTGAGCCACAACTGTCACGACGAGTAATAATAATAATTAAGCGATTTATACACGATTTTATACAAATCCACCTTTTTGGCATACGACCACTTCTTGATCCAATTCAAACGGGCCAATCAGGGTGCAGCATTTGCCAAGGGCTTCCTCATTGGCACGTTTGGGCTACTACATTATGGCTACAGTAACTTAATAATGTCTAGCTAGTATTTCAAGAATAATAGTCTATCTAATCTAAATATTTATTGAAATCAGTCTGGAGTAACGTGACTCCAGGGGGCGTATTATGACTCTTTAAAATCGAGTCAGTTTCCAGGCAGTTCAGTTTACGGCCTTAAACTGAATTGTTCTTTTTCGTATTATGAGGGTCCAAATTCAAACCGTATTCTGCCTGGATAGTTTGTCTCTGGCTGGTTAGTGGATTTTCTCGCGCTGCGTTCGGATACGCATACATTCGTTGCAACGTTAAGTTGAGTTTTTGTGTGTCACTTTTTGGACAAAATATTAATTAAATAAATGTAAATTAAATATAGAAAACAGTAATTAAGATACAATGGTAGAATTTGTGTAATATACAAAAATATTCCAGACAGTTTTATTGTCTTTTTTAATAATTCGGATTTATTTGTAAAAAATATTTTCATTGTAATATCCAAACGAACTTTGTGCATCTACTTAAAATTCCGCGCAAAGTACTTAATTCTGATTTTAATGTACAATTTGAAACTTAGCCTTTCCATGACTTTATACGCAAGTTAAATTTAATAATTCAATTATTGTGAAAAATATACCTAATGTAACGTAAGTATTCCTAACATTTTCTTAGTAATGTTTTTTTAAAATGATGCAAATATTTAACTGTTTCTATTTGTATATTTATCTAACTAAATTGTAGATCACGGACTGAAACCCCTGGCCAACGTCGTGTATCGTACCGGTAATTTAAAATTATATGGGATTTTTAAAATCCCATAGGGAAATGGCAAGTGGCTTTAATAAGTCCGCCCAAGAATACCATACCAATCGCTTGTGTGAGGACGTCGCTCAACAATTAAACTCCTTAGGAAAAGGGGGTTTTAAAGACTGGAAAGGATTGTCAAGTTTAAGTGTTATAAGGTAACCATCTGAATTTTAATTTATTTCATTTAATAGGAATCTCAGTAAAATCTGAAATACATGTATCTATGCAAATAAATTGAAGTATCTGTTTGTAATTTTGAAGTTCACCAGTTACAACAGCTTTTCAGTAAATGCATACCTATATAAGGTAAGATAAATGACATAAAAAAAAATATATATTTGTCTGTCCGTTTGTTAGTTCTTGCTAATCTTTGAAACAGCTGGACCAAATTTGAGGGATACTTTCACTGTCATATGTAATGAGTTGTGTAAAGGAGTAACAAGTTGCTTTTATTTGAGATATTTTATTTATTTTAACAAAAACTAGGTATGCCATATGGACAAAGTCATAGGTAATAACTAGTATATAATAAAATTATCATATCCCTTTAATGATAACTACCAATAAAAGACATAAATAATGTACCTATATCATTTATTATAAAAACAAATAATTAAAACATTGACCTATTAACAATATTATTATTTATAAATGTTTCAATTTCTTAGTTCCACAACTAAACAACATGGGTTTGTCTAGCAGCTAGACCTTCATTTAGTTCTCTATAAGAGTTCAAAGTACATGTAGGCATCTAAATCTAGAAGCCCAATTGTGCTCTCAATGATATTCCATGTTCATATGCTTCTTGTGGTCCTGGTATATAGCATTTGAGATGGGAGTATACTTCTCTAAAGCATATCCTGGAACCCTTAAAAAAAACAACATATTATATACTATAATATTAATATTTATTTACAAAAAGTATTAATTCATTAAAAACACAGCACAATAACTGTTGTTGCTGATAAATAACTATGTTTCTAAATTACTGAAGTTTAGAGCTTAGATGTAATGATGTTTGTAGTTTCATAATAAAATTTTGTGTTTACCAAGTAATCATAAGGATTTATTCCAGCTTAAGTCCTCTAGATGTTGCTTAATGCCTCTGGTTTGCCCAAATGTCATGAGTAGCTCCAGTTCCAGTTGGCATCCACACTCATAATGTCCATGTCAGCATTACTAACCTAAATTTTTTTTCCAGATTAATTACATAGTTGAAGATTATTTGAAACATAAGAGAATAATTAATGGATAAATATTATTTGAAACATATGTCTAAGTGTTATGGTCATTTAATATTTAAGTAAACAATTTATTGTTAGTATATAAGTAGCTTTAGAGATGTATAATCATTAACATATTTTGCATGTCTAAATTCTTGTTTATTGTTAATTTATATAATTATATTAAAAAAAGATATTAAAAGTGCTTATATTATTAAACATGTCTTTTAATTTATATTTCACTTACCAATTATATATTTAATTAATGGTATTGTTTTCTACAGTAATATCTCTTCTTAATTTACAATGGGGTGGCATGTGTACAGTCAAATACAGCCCAATACACCCAGCATTCCAAATTCCAATTATAAAACCTAAAATATAATTAATTTAATTTAATTAATTGTCCTCGGAGGAAAGTGCCAGAGAGACTGCACATCATCAGACTGTTGCATACTTGCTTTCTAGGCTTTACTTGTATGCATACATTTTACCATATATATTATTACTATATCATATGGTATGGTACATGGCACTCATAAATGTATTTGCAACAATAACAGTTGCTAATTGTATAGAAATAGATAACTTTGAATATTTATTATCTATCCTTTACTCAGATGTCTTTGGAATTTTATATATGTATTTACTTTTGTATGTTGGGTAAATGCAATAAATCGGTTATTTGCCATTGGCTGTGCTAGCGAATGAACAGCAATATCACTAGTAGGCCGTTGATACGAGCCTGCAGCATAAATAATAATGTTACTAAAACCTGACATAGTCAGCTAGTGATTTAGTGAAATAATTACAATACAATATACCTTAGTTTCCACTGGTAGGTCTGTAAATTTCGATGATACCGGCATATGAGTTCGCACGCATATTACGCTCCAAATCTTTATTTAGATTATAACGTTTTCTAAAATTGTTCATTGTCTATATAAATTGGATTGGATTGGTCGCGTAATCGCCGTCTTTTCACTTTCCTTACTTCTTTTTCGTAGGGTGCACACATTTCCAAAAACTCCAATACTTCGAGTTCATCACACATAAATAAAATTAAAACGAAACAAAAACAATCGAAATAACTGCACAAACATGTTATAAACATAATAAAAACTGACATAGAAATAGAAATAATAACCAAATTACAATAATGAAGCTATAAATTAGAAAACAATTCTATAAAAGCTAATATGAAGCCACCGTAATCTGAATTGTTTTTAAACGGTCTTTTTGACAGTTGCGTCCGCTTAGATCTGTCAAATGAAACGCTCATAATACGAAATAGCCGGTCAGTTTTCGGCAGAAGACGTTCAGCTGTCACGTGACCGCTGACTGGCTGGCTAATAGCGTTCGTAATACGAAATCGCCAGGCAGTTCAGTTTAAGCCGTAAACTGAATGGGAATAAGAGTTCATAATACGGCCCCAGATCAAAACTCAATACTTGTTATTTTTTGGACGGGAATTTTTCCTTTTGTAACAACGTTACTGAGCGAATGAAGAGAAGACGTAACGGCGGATCCAGGGGGGAGCGTCATGGAGGTATTGGGAGTCATGGGGAGTCATGACTCTCCCCCCCTTTAGCCCAGGACTTAGGTAGACCACTAATTGAACTAAAAAATAATGAAACAGCTAAATTTTTTGCACTATCGGAGTGTTGGTGCAGTGGTATTAATTATAATTAAACATTGTTACTTAAAATCACAGATAACATAATATTACATACAGATACCCCATCCCATACAAGAAAATGGTTCCTTCCTAACTCGGGC